TCATGGATATTGATACTGGCATGATAGACATTTTCTATCAGTCCATTTTCTGTTGCTCTAACACAAATACCTGAGACTGGGAGATTTATAAAGAACAGAAGTTTATTGTGGCTCACAATTCGGGAGGCCAGGCAGTCCAAGCACAGTGCTGGCATCTGCTTGGCTTCAACTCATGGCAGAAAGTGATGGACAAGTAGGCATGCGCAAAGGAGAAAAACAAGGGACAGTCTTGCTTTAGAGCAACCTGTTCTCACAGTAACTGGAGAGTTCCAGAGAACAAGAACCCTGTCCCTACAGTACCGGGAGAATTAACCCACTCCTGGGAGAATGGCATCTGTCCATTCATGAGTGCTCCACCCCCTGACCCAACTACCTCCCACTGTGACCACTTCCCAGAATCTCCACGCTGAGGAGTTAAGATGCTCCAGTCACAGCAGTGGGCACTGTGGTTGGTCCCACCTTTGGGCTACTATGACTAGTGCAGTTGTGAACATTTGTGGGTCATAATGCAGGTGTGACACTTGGCGCAGGGCCTGTCAGTCACCCACCTGCTCGATAAGCAGTAAGCAGCTGTTAGCATTTTTTAAGCCAACACTATACTGGGTGATTTGGGTCACAGGCTACCTAAATGTCAGAGATGGAAGGCAGAAGGCACCCAGGACAACACTCATGGCACAGTTTTGCTGAGCGTGGTCCCTGTCAAGGCAGGATGACAGAGACAAAGCACAGACTCTACTGACTTTATCACTTTGGAGCCGTGAGGCTGGGTAGGTCACTCGACCTCCCTCATGCCTGTGTGAACTGGATATAAATACTGGCTCCTGTATCTACCTCACAGCTTTGTAGCCTGGGTCAAAAAGAGATCATTCAAAATATGAAAGAGCCAGGTAGTGTTCCCAGCTCATAGCCTCAGCAGTTGGGAGGCTGAAGTAGGAAGATTGCTTGAGCCCAGGAGTTGGGCAGCATAAGGAGACTCTGTCTCAGTAAATGAACTAACAAAGAAATAAATAAACAAGAAAACACGTTGGGAGAATTATTTCAAGCCTTACATATTACTGAAGCCAACTCCTCTCAAAGTGAGGAGCTACTTTCACCACTCATTAGCCTCCTTCCCTGCCGGAGGGTTTGCATTCTCTTCAAGATGACATTCCAGCCTTCTCACCACAACCCCTGCGGCGGTATCACCTTCCTTGCAGCTGCTTAAGGAGCAGAGGTGAGCAACCTGGTCAAAGGGTCAAAGGCGCAATCCTGGATTCACATCAGCAAAGGGCCTGTGGCGCCTCTCTTCTCCAGGGTGAAACCTCCGCAGTCTTTCTGGTTTTCTCAATCGCTACTTGGCTAGAGCGCCCTCGTGTGTCTCCACGTGGCAATACTTTCCCTCTTTTCCAGGACGTGACTTTTAATCGCAGTATCAAAACAACACGTAATGGGCCAGGGATTTAGCTCAGTGGTTCCGGCGCCTGCCTCGAAAGCGCAAGGTCCCGAATTTGATCCCCGGTACCAAAAAAAAAAAGAAAAAAGAAATACAATAAGTAATGGAAAGTTTTTCTTGTCACACTTCAGGGCCCAGGTTTGACCGCCGGGCTCCAGTCAAGCAGTTTCAGTGTGAGTCTTACACAGGTTTCCTGCTTCCACTCAGGTCTAAAGATTTCCTTCTCCCTGTTCATCCTCCAGTGATTTTGAACAGCTCTGGTCACATGCTTCACATGTGTCAGCTTGGTCCCAGCACCTTCTACTATTCCAAGTTTATCCAGATTTCAAGATAATTTTTTCCAATGGGTACATCAGATTTTACTGAAGGACTGGGGGAGAAAGTAGTTCCAAAGTACTAGGCAGGAGTTTTTTGTTTTGTTTTTTATTGGTAGCGGGGATGGAACTTGGGACCTTGTGCTTTCGAGGCAGGCGATGGAACCACTGAGCTAAATCCCCAGCCCCCAGCAGGAGTTTTTCAAGTGTTTACTAAATATGACTTGTTCTGTAACCTAAGAAAAAGGTATTCAAAATGAGACCTCCTGCAGCAAAGCCCTGACACTTGGGAAGGGGAAAATGGCAACCAGAGACAGCGACATGTGGCAGTGTACACACACACACAGTGCTCAAACATCTGGTGCACACACCAGTGGCTTTCTCTCTTGCTGAGAATCAGGATGAGCACAGGTCTTTGGAGAAAAGGAAACTCACATTATATCTGGAATCTCAAGAATGTGCCTCAGTCCCTTCAGGACCAAGGGCTATGAAAACCTGAGGGATCTCCCTCTTGCCTGGTGGGCACTCATGGAGTTTTCTGAATCAAAGTCCCACTGGCAAACTCCATTAAGGGCCTTTAGCTTTCCTGGAGGGGCATGTTCTGGGGAAGCTGCATATAAATGTTTACAGATCAATTAAGCTTCCCCACTGACTCCCAGTAAGATTTCTGAGCTGTTCTCTCTCTACTGAGATTGATTTTCAATGTATATCTAACACTTAAGCTTTGTTTCCTTTTCCCCTGTCATCCTCTCTAAGATTCCAGGATCTACAAATAAACCCATAAAGGCATTAGAGAGGCTGCTATTTGATCAAGACACCAGTATTACCATCTGCAATGCAAATACCCAATCTACATCCAGCCCTTTAGAAGGCCACTGCCAAGGATTTGAGGGGTTTTCCCCTTTCTCTTGCAGGAAAGTAGCAGAAGGAGGCTGGGAATGTGGCTTAGTGGTGCAGCACTTGCCTAGCACACATGAGGCCTTCGGTTCCATCCCCAGAGCCACAAGAGATGAATAAGACAAGGGGTAGCAGATGTGGGTGACTGGTATCTGAGTTGTAAGTGGGTTGGTCTTATCCTTTGTGCCTTCCACTCCCTCTACCTGTCTGGTATCATATAACAGAGACCCTTCCTACTGAACCACAGATGGGCACTGTGATTCTGGGGCCTGGTGTATGCAGCTGGCTACCTAAGGAAAACGCACTTCTTAAGTAAAGATGCAACGAGTTGCTAGGGAGGCACTGTGGCTTTGCTCTCTGGCAAAGGGCAAGGCAAGGGCACATGTGTCGTGGGGCTGTGGCACTGGTCAGGCAGCTGCTTTTGCAGCCTTTGAAGTGGAACCAGAGACATTATGACTGCTGATAGGAAGGGAATTACCTGGTTAGTGACAAGGAAAATTAATAGTCTAAGCAGCTCTCTATCCTCCATTCTCCAAGCTGGCATTTTGATTTAAAAAAAAATTTTCTGCCACAACTGTTTGCATATTCTGGAAGTGTGAGTGCATGTGTGTGGTTTGATGTTTACAGATTTGGGGTTGCGGAGGGGAGTTTCCAGAACAACGGAAGTGGCTGCTTGTCAGTCAGGGCTCATTCTGAAAATGAAAGTCTGAAAGCTTGGGGCCCACTCTGGGACTGGGCCTGGTCTCTGAGGAGTCAGCAGAGGTGGGCAGATGGCTTTGGCCTGCTGGCTCAAGGAAGAAACCATTTAATCACTGTTTTTTTAAATGAATTGACCAAATATAAAAGTTGCTTTTAGTGTCCTGCAGATTCAGTCTGGGACAAGGATATGTGAGTGGGCAAGGAGGCTCCAGCTACAGATGCACTCCTCCAACACACACACACACACACACACACACACACACACACACACACGATCACACTTTCCCATTTTCACAGGCTGCCAAGTCAGAACAGATAAGTAATTCTTTTGCACCTACCAGGTATATGAGGATAGTATGATACACATATCAGTTTACAGGTGTTTTGGTTTGGTTTTTTAAAACAGGGTCTTGCCATGCAGCGCAGGCCTCAAACTTCCGATCTTCCTGCCTCAGCCTCCCAAGTACTGGGGGGAAAAATACAGTTTCACATGTCAGAGCAAGAAAAGAAAAATAATAACCCATCCATGCCGGGAGCCAAAGGAGTAGTAGAAACGGGCTGCGGAAGGAGAGGCTCACTCCTGGCTGGGGTAAACAGGAGGCTGGCTGGAGGAGGTGGACACAGGCCAGCCTCGAAAGACGGAGAACTTCCCTAGACAGAATCTGTGAGGGAGGGTGTGGGGAGAGAAGGGCTCAAGTTAGGGCAGGTTGGAGTTTGGCGCTGTGGAGTGATTTGCACTTGATAAGCCTGGCTTGAATGTCAGCCCCTCCAAGTGCCGGAACAAAGGCTCCCTTGTCCTGCTGACCTGCTGTGCTGTGCTGCTTCCTGCTGGGTGACCTTGGGCAGGTGTGCTAACCTCTCTGCAAACTGGGAATAGTGATGATACTTAGTTCCTAAAGTCACTGGGAAGAGCAAATGACCTAATATACAGAAAGCGTCTGATGTATAGGAAATATTCATAAATGGATTACAAATGCATAAGCTGTCATGAGGAATGCTCAAGATACTTAGGGCTGGTCCCAAACATTTGAAGACCAAGGGGGAAAAGCCTCTGACACCTTCCATCACTGGTGAAACTACTGGGCCCCCACCCTCTCTGGTCCAGACTTCTCCAGGCTGCCTGTCTCTGCCTCTCCCAGAATCATCTTCCTAACAACCTTACTCATACCTGGGTCTCTCCCTGGCTCAAAAGCCTTCTATGGCTCCCTATTGCTCATGGATTGAACTCGTTAACACGGTAAGGAGCAGGCAGCAAAAACTACCACTTCTTGAGGGGAAAAAAGAGCAAAGAGGAGGTTGGTATTAAGAGTAAAAAGGTAAAATATCCTCTTTTTAAAACCCCTGAAGTCCTGAATTTACAGAATCAGCAGGGGGTGGGGAAACCGCAGGAACGCATCTCCGAAGAGGGGAAGGAGATGCCTATGGCACAGGCTCAAACTCAGCTGTAGCTGCTGCTTCAACCAACTTGAGAAAGCTTAGGAGGGAGGAGAGAAGGCAGAAAGCTGAGCCTAGAGCCAAAGAGCGTCGGGGCAGCAGGGGAATACCCCTTCTCAGTTCCCTGGGAGGGCTTCGGCCAGGACGCAGGACTCGGACTTCTCCGCGGGAAACCCCGGGCATCCCCGGTGCTGCGGGGAGAGTCAAGGTCACCCAAAGGGCGGGGCAGACAAGCCCGAGTCACCTGCTGCAGCCCAGTCGTGTTCCACCGATTGCTAGGCGCTAGGCTCGGGAAGGCGGCGTCTAGGGGACAAAGTGCAGGGAGATTCCTGAAGAGATAAGAGGGAAGGCGAAGGAAGGGGGTGGAGCGAGCGCCTTGGAGAGCAAAGGTCGGGCGTCCAGGGGCCGGCCCTGCCCGCCCTGCCGGGGAGGAGGCGCCCTAGAGCCTCTTTCCACCCAGGATGCTGAGAACCAGAATGCGGGCCGCTGAGAATCCAGCCCGTCCCCACCCGCCTGCGGCCGGAGGCGGGGCTGCTCTGCTCACCTGGCCGTTGGGGCGGGATCGCCCGCGTCCCGTGGCAGCTGCGCCCACGGTGGTACTCCGGGCGCTGGAGCGGGGCTCGCCGCGGGCACTCGGCCGGACCTCCACGCCCCCCACTGTGCGCCAGGCCCTCCCCTAGCTCGCTCCCTCCCTCTGCCTCCTCCTCTGCGCCCTCCCTCCGAGCCCAGTTGCTCAAGCCGCTTCCTTCCCCACCGCCTGCGCCAGTTCCTCCCCCGGTGGGGCCCGGGAAGGGCAACGAGCACTTGACGCCGCCGCGGCCGCGAGACCATGGCCCAGCCCCGAGGGGCCGCAGACCCGGCGCGCCCGGCCTCCCTCGCGCCTACCCCGCAGCTGCGCAGCTCGAGAGCGGACAGGGGTAGCCTGGGCAGGTACCGGGGCGCCGCTGCCGCCTCCCGGGAGCCCTCCTTCCAGGGCTCGCTGACGCTCTCCGGAGCCGGCTCGGGGCGCCGGCGGGGGCCGCGGAGGGAGCTGCCGGGGCAGCAGGGGGCGGCTCCCGCCAGGCGGCTGTCAGAGGAGCGCTCTGAGGAGCCGTCCTCCGGCGGGCTGGGGGGCAGCGGGCTTTGCCTGGAGCCGCGGGAGCACACGTGGATCCTGGCGGCCGCGGAGGGCCGGTTTGAGGTGTTGCGGGAGTTGCTGGAGGCGGACCCCTGGCTGCTGCTGCGGGGCGACCCGATCACGGGCTACAGCGTGCTGCACTGGCTGGCCAAGCACGGGCGCCACGAGGAGCTCATTCTGGTGCACGATTTCGCCAGGCGCCGGGGACTGCCGCTCGACGTGAGCGCCGCGGGTAGCGGCGGCCTCACGCCCCTACACCTGGCTGCACTACAGGGCCACGACATGGTCATCAAGGTGCTAGTGGGCGCCCTGGGAGCTGACCCCATGCGCCGCGACCACAGCGGCCACCGGGCCTACCACTATTTGCGTCCCGACGCCCCCCAGAGTCTGCGGGAGCTGTCGGGGGCAGAAGACTGGGAGCCCGCGTGTGGCAGCGATCGCCACAACACCAACAACAACAGCAGCGGCGCCGCTTCCTGGACGTCGCGACGGACCCCGAGCGCTGCGGGCGCCACGGCTGTGGAGAAGAACAACAGAGCGGCGACCCCGCTGGCCAGAGTGAAAGACGCCGCGGGCAGCCGGGTGGCGCAAATCCATGGCCTCTTCCGCCATCTGTTCCCCTTCTTCCAAGACCGTTGAGGGCGACGGAGACTAGAGAGCTAGGAGTGGGAGGCCTCTTCCTCTCGGGTTGTTCCACCACCGCCGCTGAAAAAGAGGCGCCTCTGACACATTTTGAATCTGTGAGGAGCAGACCACGCTGGCCCGAATCAGGTACCTGTCCCAGGCCTCCCGCAGCCACCAGCCAGAAGGACCCGGAGACTCAGGCAGCCCCTAACAGAGGGGGAGCCCAGGATCAAGCCCAAAATGTTCTAGACCAACAAGTTAGGAGCAGGGAGCTAGTCTTGCTTGGGAGAGAGAACAGTAAGCGTCCTGTAGCCATTTCTGGGCTGGCGGAAGCGCTGGTTTATTGGGAAGCATTCACCAGAAGAATGAGTTAAAACTGTAAAGCACTGATGCACAGGAAATGCTCAGCTGCCTGCCTAACCCTGCCATTGCTGAGTCTCACTGCACAGGTGGTCAGTCCCTGGTGATGTACCCGGAGACTACCCAGGCCTTCCCAGTACTGTTCTGATGTATCACAGATGACTTCTTAAGTATATTAAAGTGCAATCGTTTCTCCCTTCACATGACAGGAGTGCCTTTTTTCCTTCTTAACGACAAAGGGAGAAGCTGCATATGTTTGCAGGGAAGAGGGCACCAACCCAACCAGGCCACAAGCTTAGGGATCCAGGCTCTAAGAGTGATTCTCAGACCAAATGGCCAGAGCTGCACACTGAAGGAGTCTCCACCTTGGCTCTGAGTAGAGACACAGTTCACCCATCTCCTGAGCTCTTTGGCTTCCAGGTCTGGCCACCTGCACAAGTCTCATCCTAGAGCAGTTATGTAGGGGGCCTAGGGGTGGTGAGAAGTCTCTAATTCTACAATCACTGATATTTCGTAGTGTCGTGTGATTTTATTTAACTTGTGCCCTCCAGTGAGATAGACCGTCTGGTACTTTTTTCAAAGATAGGGCTTTCCTCATCCACATTTTGAAAAAATTAAGCTCAATACACAAGTTGTAGTTTTGCAAAATTGCTTCCCTTCAGAAATACCATGAATTAAATAGAATATGAGAGGGTTGACTCAACCTGAAAGGAGGGAAGAGCAGTTGGTGGCCTGTGATCCATGCTGCCTTAGACAATGCTGGATTTTTTAACATAGTACTATAGCTGGGTGCAGGGTTGCCTGCCTGTAATCCCACAGACTCAAGCGGCTAAGGCAGGAAGATCACAAGTTCGAGTTCAACCAGATAACTTAGAAAGACCCTGTCTCCAAATGTTAAAGATTTTTAAGGAGCCTGGTATGTAGCTCAGTGGTAGAGACCCTCTGGGTTCAATCCCTGGTACCACAATAAATAAGTTGATGAACTAGCACTGTGTCTCTGGAGGCTTGAGCAGCACTTAGTGGATTGCTGTGTTCCCTAGTCTCTGAACACTGGAGAAACAGTCATTACAACCAAGAATCTCCATCCTGAGCCACCCCAGCCAGGTTTGCACCTCCGCCTGGTGGGTCTGTGTTCCCTTTGTGCTGGAAACATTCATGGTTTCTTTTAATAACCCATTAGGAGGTTCTTCTCATCCATTAAATTATCTGAACCCTTCCTGTTCCCATTTTCAGCCTGCCCCATTAACCATATTTATAGTGTAATGGACTAGTTTTTTTTTCTTCTTCTAAATTAACTTTTCTTTGGTGGTTGAATCAAAGTAGGGAACATAGCAATCTATTGAGTGCTACTCAAGCCACCAGAGAAACAGTACTATTTAACTGATGTACAGTGGACCCTCAAGTTACGATCGGCCTGACATACAACTTGGGTTCATTAGGTTAATAGAAGCTTCATCTGCCTCTTGTTATCTACAGCGTGTACCCAGGTAAACATCCAGATCTCAGCTGTAGTGACTTAGTCACAACCAATCCTCCCTCGGGAACAGATGGCGTTCATAAGTCAAGGGTCCACTGTATTTATTGTAGCACTAGGGATTGAACCTGGGGGGAGAGTGAGCAGTTCCCAGATTCTGGCATTGGCATCTGCCAGTATCCCCCCCATCCCTCTGCCCATTCTACAGATTTGGGACCATGGTTACTGCTCCACGGCTCCCTTGACAGCTGCCAAGGTGGGCAGGGCTTCCTGGCTTGGAGGGAAGACTGGCAGGTTGGCACGAGCTAAGCATTCAAAGGGCACTCTTATAACAGTAGTCTTCTCTTTATTGGAAAAGCTGGAAACTAAGCATCTTAACTATTAGCAGATTTAGGGACCCAAAACAAGCATCTGTCCGGCCCTTTCCAAAATAAAAATCAAGTCAGCTGGAAGATCTGAAAGCGGCTTTCAGCTTTGAATTTTTTTTCCTCGTAGTCAGCTATTCTTCCCCACAGATTTTTCTCACCATATGATAATTGCCTACCCTACCTCCTCCGTGTAAAATTGAGGTCTGGCTGCAGGGGACAAACTCCCATGCTGAAAACTCCCCGTGCCTAACATCAAGCCATTGGCATTTCTGGTATGCTTTCAAGGCAAGACTGGTATGCTTACCCCAAGAGAAAGCAAATTCCCTGATAAACCTCTTTCCAGGGGAGCTAAGCGGGAGTTGAGCAGATGATGTAAAACCATATTCTAGTGGTGTGCCCCCCGCCAGAGACAGGGACAGAGGCGGAGCTATGACAGGTTAGCATGCAGGTTGGGGTAAGGGGTGCTGAGGACACACCAAGAATAGGGCCTGGCCTCAGCAGAAGGTGCAGAGAAGGCTTTCCAGGGCTGAGGAGGAGCTGGCCAGTGACTGTAGCAAATGCCAGGAACCATAAGTCAGCCGGTTTGGTGGGAACGTGGGAGCCAGGGAGCGGTTAATGGCAAGGCTGTATGAGCTGATGGGGTCCAGATCACACTAAAAGAAAAACAGACTTTAGCAAAAGGTAGTTGGGAGTCACAGAAGGTTTCTGAGCAGAGTAACCTGATGAGACTTTGGAAAGTCACTCTGGCAGGTACATGGAGAAAACTGGGGGCCAATGTGTCACAAGCAAAGTGATTCTGGAACAGTGTTTCAAGAAAAATCAGACATTTCAAAGACCTGGATGAGGGCAGCGCCTACACACTGTTCTTTCTCCTCTAAAACCTATGCTCTGGTGAAACTTACCTAGAAGCCCCCTGTGTAAAACTGACTGTGTGGAGTCCCTAAGGTTGAAACTTCGTTGAGATCTCCCCTCCTCTCCCACTTCTATTTGAGACAGACAGACACACAGTACATAGTACACAGTGGCCTCTGAAGCAAAATTTAAAACCGCTGGTGTGGTGGGAAGTACAATACTCAGCTTACCCTGGGTTCAAGTCCTGACTCTTGAGCAAAGGCTTGCCTCTCCGGGCTGCAGTTCCCTACTCAATAGAGTGGGGACAGTAGTCTCTAGTCCTCCACGACCTTCTATGGCTTTATTTGCTGGCACTTAGCAGAATGAAGCTGTGTAAATGTTTCCCCCAGCTCTACATTCTCTCCCAAAGTCCTTTCATCTCTTTCCTACTAACCCCATGCAACTGTCTCTCTGCTGCAGTCACACAGCCCTCGCTGGCCTGTCAGTCTTGTTCTTCTGAACTCCGGGATCCCTATCTGCTGTTCCCTCTCTAGACCCTGCCTCTCTTCCTTGCCCAGTCCCTCACCAGGCCCGTGCCCACTCTTTGGGGCATTTGATGTTACCTCAGGCTAGGTTGGCACCATGAACTCATTTGTGATATCATTTGCATCTTCCTATAGTCCTAATCGCAACTGGCGTTACTATATGACCATCTCCCCTGCCCCACTAGAGGACTGGGGCCGAGTCTGTTTTGTGGACCATGGAATCACTAAATCTTGGCACACAGATAGTGCTCAATAGCTGGGGGGGGGCGGGTAGCTCAGTGGTAGAGCACTTACCTAGCAACCACGGAGCCCTGGGTTCCATCCTCAGTGGAGGGGGGGAGATTGATTGGAAGTGGAATCTTAGTTCTGACACCAAAGCACAATAAAAGAAGGTACAAATAAATTGGGCTTCATCAAAATTAAATTATTTTGAGCTCCAGAAGAAACTATCCAGAAAGTGAAAAGACACTCACATAATGGGAAAAAATCTTTGCAAATATGTATCTGAGAAGAGTATATATCTGTTACTGGTCATATATAAGGAACTTCTGTAACTCAGCAACAAAATGCATCCAAGAATATATGTGATGGGCTGGGTGTGGTGGCACATCCCTATCATGTCAGTACTCTGGGAGGCTGAGGCAGGAGGACTGCAAATTTGAGCCCAGCCTGGGCAACTTAGTGACTTAGCAAGACCTTTCTAAAAAAAAAAAAAAAAAAAACCACGGCTAAAGATGTAGCTCAGTGTAAAGGCTCTAGGTTTAATCCCTAGTACCATTGTGTGTGTGTGTGTGTGTGTGTGTGTGTGTGTGTAAAATCTGTAATCCCAGCACTTGGGAGGCTGAGGTAGGAAGATCATAAATTCAAGTCCAGTGTGAGCTACATAATGAGAACTGTCTCAAAAATGTAAAATACAGGGGCTGGGGATTTAGCTCAGTGGTTCTGCCATCTGCCTCGCAAGCTCAAGGACCCAAGTTCAATCCCTAGTACCAAAAAAAAAAAAAAAGTAAAATACATTGAGAAGCTAATAAAAAATGGTGCCAGGGCCGAGGATTTAGCTCAGTGGTTCTGGCGCCTGCCTCGAAAGTTCAAGGTCCCGAGTTTGATCCCCGGTACCAAAAAAAAAATGGTGCCAGGTGCCACAAAAAATTAATACATAAAGATATTTACAATCTGATTTTTTTTTTTGCTTTTTTGAGGCAAGGTCTCACTATGCAGTTCAGGCTGGCCTTGAACTCACTATGTGACCCAGGCTGGCCTCAAATTCTCCGAGATTCTCCTGCCTCAGCCTCCTGGGTGCTGGGATTACAGGCACGTACCACCACACCTGGCTACAATCTGACTTTTAAAAAGACTTGAATAGACACTTATCCAAGGAATAGACACTTAACCAATAAGCGTATGAAAATGTGCTCAACATCATTAGTCCTTAGAGAAAGGCAGAGCAAAACCAGAATGAGATATTACTTCATAGCCACTAGCATGGCTATATGCAAGAAGTCAAATATAACAAGCATTGGCCAGGAGAGGGAGAAATTAGACCTTCACACATTGCCACTGGGAATGTAAACTGGTTCAGCCAATGTGGAAATAGTCTGGCAGTTTCACAAAAAGTTAAGCACAGAGTTACCATGACCCATTAAGTCTCCTAGGTATTTAAGAGAAATTAAAACAAGTGAGAAGGAAGGGGGGGAGGAGAACGGGCAATAAAAGAGACTAAGATGAAATATATATATGCACCAACTCTCCACACCATGAATATATTCATTATGTATCACAAATATGTACTAATAAAAAGAATAAATTTATTAAAAAATGAAAACATACATCCACACAAAAACTTGTACATGGATGTTCATAGCAGCATTACTTAAAATGGCTAAAAGCTAGAAATAAGACTGGGAATTTAGCTCAGTGGCACCTTCCTGGCAAGCACAAAGTCCTGAGTTCAATTCCCGGTACAAAAAAAAGATTAAAAGCTAG